TGATACCAAAATTAAAAATTAAGTGTAATTCAAACTTTAAAAAAAAAGCAGGCAAAATTTGTCTAATCAAATGATTTCAATTTATATTTTAAGTATTACAGTTAAAGAACTGTCTTTGATATACTGTTTAGAAATCTGTTCAAAACCAGTTAAGTTCCTCTGCTCTTTTAAACTTAATGCTCACCATCTAGTAACATTTATTATAAAGTTACATTAGGTAAGAGTTTTCAGATTTTAATGAATTGTCTTCAAAAGTTGAAAAATGGCACTATTTTTCAAACACTAGCTAATAATAAATAGCATTTCTAGGTACCTTTCATGTATCATTGAACATAGTTTTCACAAAAAACTAATACTGTAATTGTCCTTTTACAGGAAACAAGACACAGAAAGTTTAAGCCATGGTCACAGGAAATAAGGCATATAAACTTTCTGTTACTAGGTCATGTAACTAGTAATTCATTGGTAGGCCATACTGCATGGCTTTGATCAAATCTATCTAGTTTCTTCATCATGCCAGAGTACAAAATATTCACTGAACTTATATTCCAGTTATGTCAGCTATTATTTTTAAATCATAGTATCTTGCATAACTGGCATGAATTTTATAAAACAAGCTGGTGAAATGTCAAACTTAATACTGCAGAAAGAGCACATCCCTCAAATCTGAGATCTATCTAGAAATTCACACTGTATATCTGTTACTGTTGATAAAACTGAAATATTAATTTCTCTGAAAAATTTGGTTGAACAATTTTGTGTTTGGGTCTAACTATCTTAGAAATGATTCTTGCCATAAAAGGGAAAAAAATATACACACACACATACACACACACGTAAAGTTTCCCTGATGGTCTTTCTCTTTTAGTTTCCAACATGTGGCAATAAAACACAAGTCTTTTTCAAAATCAGAGTTGAATACAGACTCAATTCTTAGTAAAATGCTGCTGGAAAACCCTCTTACAAAAATGTCTACCTTTCATGGCTTCTGATTTAGCTTCTTCAATGGATTCATAAATCTTATTTTTATCTGCCAGCCGTGCTTTTGTAGCCTTGTGTTCAGCTTCTTCTTGTTCCAAGCTCTGCTGCATAACTTTTAGTTGGTATGTCATATCTATTTCCATGTTGTTTTTTTCCTATTAAAGATTTAAAATGGCAGCTATCAACAAAAAAGACTTGCTCGTAATCTCAAAAACTTAGTTGTTTTTTATAGACTAAGAATGTTTAATATTTTCCTTCCCTTCTTCATTCAAACTTCTTATCACAGTAATCTACGTATCTACCTGCCCATTTCCCACTGTACACACACACCTCTCACACCTCAACCGTTTTGAGACCTGGACATCATTTGATCTCAATCAAAAGACCAACGGCATCTCAAACTAAACAGACACTTTTCAGTCTTCTTCTCATTTGAACTGTTTCCTTGAAACTACTTCTTTGACATACCTGACACGAAACGCATCTGGCATTCCCCATCCTGCTTCTCATCTTTTCTGTCAGCTGCCCCTTCAAAGCTGGTGTTCTCTGGGGGTAGCATTCTTTAGCCACCATGCTTCTCTTTCTATCATTATTTCTCAAACTTTCAAAATATACCTAACATTTTTGGCTGCTGTTCATCTAAAAAAACACATCTCAGTATCCTCTACCATTCACTCTATTTTCCACATAGACTTGTTTTAAATTGAGAATTGTTAACAATCATAAATAATAGTCAACCTATTTTCTGTATATCCTCTATTTTCTAAGTCCTTGTTTTCCACAGCTTGTATCATATATAAATATTTCTTTTGTTTTTCAAATAATATCTTTAATACCAAAAACAATCTTTTCAAGTGATATAATCCCCTAAAAGAATAATCTACTCAGCCCTGAAATACCACTTCTCTAAACAATTTCTTCCCTGAATGGGCCCTTCCATCCAGATAGTTTTAGCTACCTGCATGCTGATCACTCTCAAGTATTTCTAGTTTTCACTTCCATAGCTTATTGCTTATGTCTTGTAGACATCCTGATTCAGCTGATTCACAGACATCTTAAATTTAGGATTAAAATGGATTTATCACTGCTTCCTCTAAAAGAGCTATTTTTCCTTTATTCTTTATTAATTAATAACACCACTATATATCTTCTCATGAATTAGGAACGTGGGACTCATCTTTGAGTACTACTCACATGCCACATCCAATTAATCACTAAGTGCTGCCAAATATTTCTCAGATTCATCCCTATTTTCTATCCTTTCAGTCCCTGTAGCACTATCTGAATTGTCTCCATTATTTGAATTACTGAAAAAGACTGACAAATCTCCCTACCTCTTGTCTTTCCTCCTCAAATCTATTCTCCACATGGTACACAGTTGATCTTAAATGTACCTCTAATAAGATCATTCAATTTAAAGCCCTTTAGTGGCTAATTCATTACTTAGAGAAACTAAGTTTCTTAACAGAGTATTCAGAGTCTTAGATGACCTAGCTGATGCTTAGCCTGTAGCCTCACTCTGTCCACTGAATTCCTTATACTCTCATGTGAGGACCATATTCCAGATTGCAGGCCAGTTTTGGCCTGATGCCTATTTTGGTAAAATTTCACTGGACCACTGCCATTTCCATTTTTTACATACTGTAGCAGAGCTGCATAGTTGCAAAAGAGATCACATGGCTTGCAAAGCCTGAAATATTTACTGTCTTTCCCTTAGACAATTAAAATCTGTTGATCCCTACTTTATACTCTAGAAATACTGAACGGTTTCTACTTAAATAAACAAACATGCCTTTTTTATTTTCCATCCTCTGTGCTTTTGCTTATGCCATCATCCCCAATTCCAAATGTACCTTTATGCTATCATCCGACCCTGCACTGCCAAGTAAGGGTTCATCCTGTGCACCCCACATACCTTGTCTATACCTCTACCATTCTATGTACCACTCTGCAAAGAATTATCTGTGTGCTTTATATTACTTCAGGAATTACCCATTAGACTATGAGACTGTTAAAAACAAGGACTGCATCCTGATATTTCTACAACAGATGACACACTAAATATTAAAATGAATAAACAGTGAATGAAAATAACATACTAACTGCACAGAACCTAGAAATTATCCCTGGCTTACAGTATTTTTTTCAAGAAAACCTTCTAAATAAGTCATGACAATTTTATCATTTTTAAAACTTAAGTCTAAATTAAGAGTTTTCCTTGGATCCCTAGGGAGGGATCCTTATTGTGCACACTTCAGGAGAGTCTCTCCCTTCATAAGCGTCTAACATACTAAGGGCTGCTTGTGCCATAGTAAGCTTTAAAATATATCTATCCCTAATCTATACAATCAAGTCTAAATATAAGACTCTAAGCATGTGGAAATATTTCAGTTACTGATTTCTCTTTAGAGTAAGCTTTCTAATCTGAAACTCTACAGTCATTTTCTCAGACAAATGTAAAGCTTAACATGTTTTACCTTTTCCAAATCAGTAAATCTCTCCTGTAGCTGTCTCTTCTCCATCTCTACTTTTGCTAGTAAGATTTTGCCATTCTTTAAATCTTCTTCTAGGCCAGATACTCTACCTAGAATTACAACATTTTTAAAAACAGTAAATCTACTAAGCATGTATATTAAGAGTAAAAAACTTGAAAGTCACCTCATTGGGAGGTATTATTTATGAGCAGAAGTTTTATAATTGTTCGTACAGTGCTTTACAGTTAATTCAACTGGAACCCAATCTATCACCTTTCAGAGTTGGTTCAATACTTAAAACACTTCATACTAGCTTGTAAGTTGTTGATTCATAAAATTTTGTATCTATGTATTTCTAATACCCTGATTTACATAACAGAGCAATATATTCAGAAATAGACCACTCCATCATATTATCCATCACCTAATGTTATTTCCAAAATATGAAATCAAGATGAATTGAAGTGCAGTCTACAATACCTTGTAAATCATTAATTATCTCTGATCCATGGGTTCGGTCCCTTCTTTCAGATTCTAGAATGGACTGAAGATTGATAAATTCCTTTTCAAGTTTTAACTTGGCAGTCTCCAGCAGGCAATTTTTATCTTGCAGATCTCTGTTGTTTGATTCCAGCTGCTGAATCTGTTTTGAACTTTCTGCCTGGGTTTTTCTTAACCGGGCTGCAGTATCAGATTCTGTTCGCAGCAGAGCATTGGTTTCATCCAGCTGTTATTCAATTCATAAGTAAACAGTAACATACACACACAGATATACATATACAATGAAAATACTTCAATTTGTTACCCCATTATAAATCAAACAAAAAAGAAGCATTATCCTAATGATTTCCCTTTAAAATTAGAGGCAAAGGCCTTTTGTAACATTCTCAATTAAAACTAATGTTAATAGGTAGTCATAAATAAAATGTAATACCCTTATTACAGATTGGGATCTACCTACTTGTCTCTGGAGTTGATTCACTTTCTCAGTGGATATTTGAGAGTTCTGGTTTCTTTTTTTCAAATCTTCAAGTTGATCTTTCAAACTGTTAACTATGATAAAAAGCATTTCAGTGGCAAGATTCAACACAACACACAGACGCATACATACACACGCATTATTTCGTATATTACTACTTGGTAGAATTTTTTTCTCAGTAAGTTTTTAATATTCTACACCACAAACCATCATTTTCCAAATTCCGTTTCTTGTCTGCTTCATGATCAGCTTTCCGCTGGTATTCTGCATTTTTGTGCTGAAGAAGTGCCTTTTCTCTTTCTAATTGTCTTAATGCTGATTCCACATTTTTCCTTAAGGTAATCTGAAATAATGCTTGAAGTTATTATCAAAGTAAAGTATGTACAAAAACCAAATGAAACCATTTGTTATTTCAAGCAGATAAAAAAAGACCTTAAAACAAAACAAAAAAAGGCTCTGCTGTTTTGTTAAAGCTACATTTGCAATATTTTTAAAACAGCATTCTACTCAAATAATTAGAACCTATGTGCTTTGTTTACTAAAACAAAGTCCACTGATGCTGTAAGATTTTACAATATATCAAGATATGCATTAATATGTATTAATACATTAAGGGACTCTGTAGGTAAGTCAGGCATCAAAATTTTTTATGAACAAAAATGTCAGTGAAAGTGTAGATAACTTTACCTCTTCTTCTAGTTCCTTTGCTATTTTCTCTAGGCGAGTATTAACAGATCTAAAGAATTTCAAAAGGAACAGTAAATTCACAATAAAAAACATTTACCATAAATGTTCAAATAATCAGATAATTACTTTGTAGACTTTTTTTAGTGAAATGTTTAAACTTAAACTTTAAAATATTTAATTATCCATAAACATACCTGCACTTTTGCTCTAGTTCCTCCTTGGCTTGTATCTCAGTGCTGAGGTGTTCTTCTAATGTGTATAGTTTTTTCTGAATCTGTCAGAAAATAAGAAACTATAATTATTAAGTTTGGTTACATTTAAAAGATGAGAGGCTTAAAGAAAACTGATAAAACTTCTCTTTTCTTTCAACTTAATGTAATCTCGTCTATAATGGTACATACAATATTTGTACCTTCTTACTGTGACTTTTATTGACAGGAAAAACATCCTCCATTTCTTACTTTCTGTCAGAGTGCACATGTATATATGAACATACTATATAAACATATGAATGACAAGGTCTAATCTTGGTAGAATTCTCCTGTAACACAGTTTCTCATTCTTTATGAATACAGGATATCCTCTGATTATCCTCTACCATTCTTCTGCAGATTATTTGAAAATATTGTCACTACTTATGTTTATAAAATAAACACAAAAGGTCTATATCTGAAACACGTATTTGGAATATCTGACTCAACACTCCCAAAATATACTACTGTTCTTAAAAAGAAGAATATAAGCACATCTTAATATCTTTATACACAGTGCTGGGCATACTAGTACAGTGAAGAATTGTGATCAATAACTCTTTTGGATAAATGATAGCTAATTAATTACAAGTCATCTCCTTGCCATTCTTTCAATCTTCTTGTAGCCAGATATGTTGGTATTTAAACCAACTAAAATTATAGAAAGTATTAAATAATCCATCTTGGGAATGTTATTAGCCGTGCTTTTGTAGCCTTGTGTTCAGCTTCTTCTTGTTCCAAGCTCTGCTGCATAACTTTTAGTTGGTATGTCATATCTATTTCCATGTTGTTTTTTTCCTATTAAAGATTTAAAATGGCAGCTATCAACAAAAAAGACTTGCTCGTAATCTCAAAAACTTAGTTGTTTTTTATAGACTAAGAATGTTTAATATTTTCCTTCCCTTCTTCATTCAAACTTCTTATCACAGTAATCTACGTATCTACCTGCCCATTTCCCACTGTACACACACACCTCTCACACCTCAACCGTTTTGAGACCTGGACATCATTTGATCTCAATCAAAAGACCAACGGCATCTCAAACTAAACAGACACTTTTCAGTCTTCTTCTCATTTGAACTGTTTCCTTGAAACTACTTCTTTGACATACCTGACACGAAACGCATCTGGCATTCCCCATCCTGCTTCTCATCTTTTCTGTCAGCTGCCCCTTCAAAGCTGGTGTTCTCTGGGGGTAGCATTCTTTAGCCACCATGCTTCTCTTTCTATCATTATTTCTCAAACTTTCAAAATATACCTAACATTTTTGGCTGCTGTTCATCTAAAAAAACACATCTCAGTATCCTCTACCATTCACTCTATTTTCCACATAGACTTGTTTTAAATTGAGAATTGTTAACAATCATAAATAATAGTCAACCTATTTTCTGTATATCCTCTATTTTCTAAGTCCTTGTTTTCCACAGCTTGTATCATATATAAATATTTCTTTTGTTTTTCAAATAATATCTTTAATACCAAAAACAATCTTTTCAAGTGATATAATCCCCTAAAAGAATAATCTACTCAGCCCTGAAATACCACTTCTCTAAACAATTTCTTCCCTGAATGGGCCCTTCCATCCAGATAGTTTTAGCTACCTGCATGCTGATCACTCTCAAGTATTTCTAGTTTTCACTTCCATAGCTTATTGCTTATGTCTTGTAGACATCCTGATTCAGCTGATTCACAGACATCTTAAATTTAGGATTAAAATGGATTTATCACTGCTTCCTCTAAAAGAGCTATTTTTCCTTTATTCTTTATTAATTAATAACACCACTATATATCTTCTCATGAATTAGGAACGTGGGACTCATCTTTGAGTACTACTCACATGCCACATCCAATTAATCACTAAGTGCTGCCAAATATTTCTCAGATTCATCCCTATTTTCTATCCTTTCAGTCCCTGTAGCACTATCTGAATTGTCTCCATTATTTGAATTACTGAAAAAGACTGACAAATCTCCCTACCTCTTGTCTTTCCTCCTCAAATCTATTCTCCACATGGTACACAGTTGATCTTAAATGTACCTCTAATAAGATCATTCAATTTAAAGCCCTTTAGTGGCTAATTCATTACTTAGAGAAACTAAGTTTCTTAACAGAGTATTCAGAGTCTTAGATGACCTAGCTGATGCTTAGCCTGTAGCCTCACTCTGTCCACTGAATTCCTTATACTCTCATGTGAGGACCATATTCCAGATTGCAGGCCAGTTTTGGCCTGATGCCTATTTTGGTAAAATTTCACTGGACCACTGCCATTTCCATTTTTTACATACTGTAGCAGAGCTGCATAGTTGCAAAAGAGATCACATGGCTTGCAAAGCCTGAAATATTTACTGTCTTTCCCTTAGACAATTAAAATCTGTTGATCCCTACTTTATACTCTAGAAATACTGAACGGTTTCTACTTAAATAAACAAACATGCCTTTTTTATTTTCCATCCTCTGTGCTTTTGCTTATGCCATCATCCCCAATTCCAAATGTACCTTTATGCTATCATCCGACCCTGCACTGCCAAGTAAGGGTTCATCCTGTGCACCCCACATACCTTGTCTATACCTCTACCATTCTATGTACCACTCTGCAAAGAATTATCTGTGTGCTTTATATTACTTCAGGAATTACCCATTAGACTATGAGACTGTTAAAAACAAGGACTGCATCCTGATATTTCTACAACAGATGACACACTAAATATTAAAATGAATAAACAGTGAATGAAAATAACATACTAACTGCACAGAACCTAGAAATTATCCCTGGCTTACAGTATTTTTTTCAAGAAAACCTTCTAAATAAGTCATGACAATTTTATCATTTTTAAAACTTAAGTCTAAATTAAGAGTTTTCCTTGGATCCCTAGGGAGGGATCCTTATTGTGCACACTTCAGGAGAGTCTCTCCCTTCATAAGCGTCTAACATACTAAGGGCTGCTTGTGCCATAGTAAGCTTTAAAATATATCTATCCCTAATCTATACAATCAAGTCTAAATATAAGACTCTAAGCATGTGGAAATATTTCAGTTACTGATTTCTCTTTAGAGTAAGCTTTCTAATCTGAAACTCTACAGTCATTTTCTCAGACAAATGTAAAGCTTAACATGTTTTACCTTTTCCAAATCAGTAAATCTCTCCTGTAGCTGTCTCTTCTCCATCTCTACTTTTGCTAGTAAGATTTTGCCATTCTTTAAATCTTCTTCTAGGCCAGATACTCTACCTAGAATTACAACATTTTTAAAAACAGTAAATCTACTAAGCATGTATATTAAGAGTAAAAAACTTGAAAGTCACCTCATTGGGAGGTATTATTTATGAGCAGAAGTTTTATAATTGTTCGTACAGTGCTTTACAGTTAATTCAACTGGAACCCAATCTATCACCTTTCAGAGTTGGTTCAATACTTAAAACACTTCATACTAGCTTGTAAGTTGTTGATTCATAAAATTTTGTATCTATGTATTTCTAATACCCTGATTTACATAACAGAGCAATATATTCAGAAATAGACCACTCCATCATATTATCCATCACCTAATGTTATTTCCAAAATATGAAATCAAGATGAATTGAAGTGCAGTCTACAATACCTTGTAAATCATTAATTATCTCTGATCCATGGGTTCGGTCCCTTCTTTCAGATTCTAGAATGGACTGAAGATTGATAAATTCCTTTTCAAGTTTTAACTTGGCAGTCTCCAGCAGGCAATTTTTATCTTGCAGATCTCTGTTGTTTGATTCCAGCTGCTGAATCTGTTTTGAACTTTCTGCCTGGGTTTTTCTTAACCGGGCTGCAGTATCAGATTCTGTTCGCAGCAGAGCATTGGTTTCATCCAGCTGTTATTCAATTCATAAGTAAACAGTAACATACACACACAGATATACATATACAATGAAAATACTTCAATTTGTTACCCCATTATAAATCAAACAAAAAAGAAGCATTATCCTAATGATTTCCCTTTAAAATTAGAGGCAAAGGCCTTTTGTAACATTCTCAATTAAAACTAATGTTAATAGGTAGTCATAAATAAAATGTAATACCCTTATTACAGATTGGGATCTACCTACTTGTCTCTGGAGTTGATTCACTTTCTCAGTGGATATTTGAGAGTTCTGGTTTCTTTTTTTCAAATCTTCAAGTTGATCTTTCAAACTGTTAACTATGATAAAAAGCATTTCAGTGGCAAGATTCAACACAACACACAGACGCATACATACACACGCATTATTTCGTATATTACTACTTGGTAGAATTTTTTTCTCAGTAAGTTTTTAATATTCTACACCACAAACCATCATTTTCCAAATTCCGTTTCTTGTCTGCTTCATGATCAGCTTTCCGCTGGTATTCTGCATTTTTGTGCTGAAGAAGTGCCTTTTCTCTTTCTAATTGTCTTAATGCTGATTCCACATTTTTCCTTAAGGTAATCTGAAATAATGCTTGAAGTTATTATCAAAGTAAAGTATGTACAAAAACCAAATGAAACCATTTGTTATTTCAAGCAGATAAAAAAAGACCTTAAAACAAAACAAAAAAAGGCTCTGCTGTTTTGTTAAAGCTACATTTGCAATATTTTTAAAACAGCATTCTACTCAAATAATTAGAACCTATGTGCTTTGTTTACTAAAACAAAGTCCACTGATGCTGTAAGATTTTACAATATATCAAGATATGCATTAATATGTATTAATACATTAAGGGACTCTGTAGGTAAGTCAGGCATCAAAATTTTTTATGAACAAAAATGTCAGTGAAAGTGTAGATAACTTTACCTCTTCTTCTAGTTCCTTTGCTATTTTCTCTAGGCGAGTATTAACAGATCTAAAGAATTTCAAAAGGAACAGTAAATTCACAATAAAAAACATTTACCATAAATGTTCAAATAATCAGATAATTACTTTGTAGACTTTTTTTAGTGAAATGTTTAAACTTAAACTTTAAAATATTTAATTATCCATAAACATACCTGCACTTTTGCTCTAGTTCCTCCTTGGCTTGTATCTCAGTGCTGAGGTGTTCTTCTAATGTGTATAGTTTTTTCTGAATCTGTCAGAAAATAAGAAACTATAATTATTAAGTTTGGTTACATTTAAAAGATGAGAGGCTTAAAGAAAACTGATAAAACTTCTCTTTTCTTTCAACTTAATGTAATCTCGTCTATAATGGTACATACAATATTTGTACCTTCTTACTGTGACTTTTATTGACAGGAAAAACATCCTCCATTTCTTACTTTCTGTCAGAGTGCACATGTATATATGAACATACTATATAAACATATGAATGACAAGGTCTAATCTTGGTAGAATTCTCCTGTAACACAGTTTCTCATTCTTTATGAATACAGGATATCCTCTGATTATCCTCTACCATTCTTCTGCAGATTATTTGAAAATATTGTCACTACTTATGTTTATAAAATAAACACAAAAGGTCTATATCTGAAACACGTATTTGGAATATCTGACTCAACACTCCCAAAATATACTACTGTTCTTAAAAAGAAGAATATAAGCACATCTTAATATCTTTATACACAGTGCTGGGCATACTAGTACAGTGAAGAATTGTGATCAATAACTCTTTTGGATAAATGATAGCTAATTAATTACAAGTCATCTCCTTGCCATTCTTTCAATCTTCTTGTAGCCAGATATGTTGGTATTTAAACCAACTAAAATTATAGAAAGTATTAAATAATCCATCTTGGGAATGTTATTACCTTTATAAAAGATTTCCTTTAAGTTTTTTACTTTCTTTTGTGCCTTAGGTACAGGGGCAGGCTCTTTACAAGTGATGTCTCATAAATCCTAACAAAAACCCTAAGAAGATAGTAGTGTTCTATCTACTCAATAAAGAAACAGAAATCCAAAAAAGTAAAGAAATGGGCCAAGATAACATAGCTAATAAGTGGCAATGCCAAAAATCAAGCCAAGTCTATTAGATCCTAAGGCCAAGGTTCTTTCCTCGATTCTTTCTACTGGTTAGGTTCCCATGGTTTCTTAAGTATTTCATATATCTTAAGTAAAATTATAGTTTTCCCTAACAAAAATATAAAGGCCAATGAACTAGTTAAATTCAACTGCTTTTTGGCTGCTATTCGTTAGTATAATTTGATCACACTAGTTACCACATGCTAATCAGAAGTTCTTACTGCCAGTTATATATCCTTGATAAATAAAAATACAATTATATAATATATATTTTAAACAACAGATCCATAGGAGCCATAATAAAAGGGATACTTGGTAGAAAAAAGGTTGGGAACTTCTCTCTTGGGTAGATGTAGTACTCCAAACGCTAGGTGGAACATGGCTATATCACAACATTGCTACAGGGATGAGTTTTTCTCAAGTTTGCTGTGTTCAACATACCTCTTGACTTTCCTATTTAAAACAAAACACAGAACATTAATGTGCTTTTTAACGCTTTGCAAAATTCCTAAAACATAAATCAAACCAAGTTTATCCAACCCAACCTTTTTAGTTTTTGTTTAGAGAAAAAATGTTTAGCATCTTCACTTATGTTCATGTGTATATGTGTATGATTCAGCTTTGTATGCAGTTACAAATCGTCACAAAACACTATAACAGTTTGATAAAATTATCATTTATATGAATTCATCCCTAAATACTCAAATTTTGAATTCCTCCACTATTTCTATAACTTTATGTCTTATTATCTGTACTTTTTTATAGTACTAAGATAATAAAAGTTTCTAACTAGTATACTAGTTGTTTATAAACCTGTTCTATCACTTTTGCTACTAAAACTAAGCCGAGATCCATGTATAATTCATCTTTTTACTAGCTATTGTATCTTGCACAGTGATACTTGTCAAACAAATCAATCACTTAATGTTATGCTGAACTTTACTGCAACAAGGAATATGTCCAATGATTTAAAAAGTAGCATCAAATGAATTTTTAAGACACATGGATATTACTAAAATATTAGAACATGTGACTGGAATACAGTAGTAAAAATATATACATACTTCATTTTTCCTTGATTGCATTGAATCATTATCTCTACGAGATGGAGAGTCACCTAATAACCTAGAAGAAAAGACAGGAAATAAATTTTTTTTGTCCCTCTTCCCAGTCCCAGGAAATAAATTCTGTGTCAATTTATTCCATTTTTTAATACCAAGTTATTCTCAGAATTAAATTCCATCCACAAAGATTTCTCTTTTAATTTGCTTCAACATTTTAAACAAGGTAACATTTTCCCCTCTAGACATTATACCATTTTCAAGAATTTAAAATACCGAACTTTTCTTGTCTCTCTCTCTCTTATTAGATGCTCCGGCCTTTAAAAGACCAGTCTGGCCTTTGAGATTGGTCACTAAAAGGGACTACACTTTCCTTCTCTTCATCTCACTTTTGAGTTCCTAAACTATTTTATTCTTCTTTTCTAGAAACCTTCTAGGAGACATCTCCTTTTCAAAGATAATATCTCTTACCTCCAGGTGTTAATACATAAATCTTCACTTCTGTTTATCAATTATCTTTCTTAACTAGGTCCGTCCTTACTGTCTATAAACATGCTTCAATTTCTCCTGGCACTGACATCCTCATTTCAGCAAGCACTACAATGGTTTTTAGAACACCACTGTTAGTAGGGTGACCAGTTCATTCTGGTTTGTCTGGGATTTTCCTGGTTTTAGCATGAAAGGTCTAGGAAAACCACTAGTCCATGCAAACCATTATGACTGGTCACCCTGACCATTACATACATGGCAGTACCAAGTTTCTCAAATTTTAGAGATGTCTTTAATGCTTCACTCAACTATTTGACAGTTTCAGTGGCTCTTCACTGCTTGTCAAAGTCAGAAGTCCTTTAGCACAGCACATAACAATCACCTTCTGCATTATTCTTCTAAATTCCAACTCATTCTATTTCCTAATCATATGCCCAATACTCACTTCAGTCAACCAGGATTTAATGACCTTGTGCCAGGCCCTTTGCTACATGAAAGGATTACAGACAAAATCCCAGTCTCATCAAGTTCTCCAAGTGGTCCTAGTAGAGTAATCCATACCTATGTTTGAGCCTTATTGGACTCTATTAATCTGCTCCCAATGTATGCTTACATTCCAAACTTTTGCTTCCACTATTCATCTCCCCACAACTTTCACCTAACCTCCCCACATTTTCAGCCACTCAAAACTTGTAAGAAAGGTACTTTCTTATCTTTAGACTAGCTAAAATGTTACCTCTTCTCTGATTTCTCCCTAATTCACCCCAAAGAGATGTGACTTTTATTTTTCTTCCAAACTATTTCAGATTTTTTGGGTACCTTACTTAAGGCAAGTATCACATTCTACCCTTTATTACGACTATATAATTTTCTTTTATCTCAGTTGACAAGGTCCTTCAAAAGCAGGTATTTGGTCTTACTCTATATCCTCATAAAAATATAGAACACGGCCTTACATTCACTCGTAAGTATCATATAACATTCAGAAATAATGAAATTAAATGGAAAATAATTGTCTTTTTGAAAAAACTCAAATTTAAAACAAACTAACACTTTATCTTCTATAATCCAGAAACTCAAAGACAACTCTTTATAGCTAAATTCTAAAAACAGTAAAAATTTACAAATCACATACAAATTTTCTCTATAGTAGGTAAATCCTATAAAAGGCAGCTGGTTTCCCACAAAAGCTTTAGGAATTGGGAAGGTTTCTACATCTCCTTTATCATCTTCAATGTCATCAAAATTGCTGCTGTCTATGTCACTGCTGAGTTCAGGTACTACAGGAGCCGCGGCTATTGAAGGAAAAGAAATGAATTATTTCATTTATAATAAAAAAACATAGAGACCACCCCTATTTTATGTTAACTACATATTATTAATGTATTAATACTAACATATTACATATTAACCATATGTATTATTATGATTTACTATAGGTAATTTCAGTAACAATTTTCTACTTATCATTTCAAATAATTAAAATGTTTTAAGTATTTTATTACTACATTAGACCAATTTTAAATACAGATAAATCAATTAAACAAGGAAAACAATATTATTTTAGGTATTAAAATTACAAGCAGCAGTAACTTGCACATACACTCTTTTGTCTTCAGTTTTACATTCTTGAAGTAGACATATTTCTACTCTTAAAATGAATTAATGTCAAGTATACATAAACTTAGAATGAATTACCATGCTTACCCTACTTTTCATCACAGTATTGTCTCCATAAGTAATTATGGCTTTATTAATTCAAAAACATTCAAATTAAAGGATTATATTTCCCCCATTCTGAAAATTACTGAGTTCCATAAAACTTGACAAGGTAAGAAATCTGTAACATTTATTATAAAAGTATTGGGAAATAGGCTGAGATATTGAAATAATATTAATTTAGTTATAAATACTGCCACAGAACAAATTTGAAATGAAACCTCTCAATTTAAAAATTAGTTAGCATTAAGGGTATCAAACATGCTCATTGATTCAAAAGAGGGATCAATTTATGAGATTTAAAATGCGACAAAATGGAAATATTTAAATTTATTGACTTACTCTCTCTTATGTTACCCCAATTCCACTGGTCATTCTTAAAGAAAGGATGTTGTTTGATTTCTTCTACCCCATTTCTCCCAAGTCGTACCTCCCTAAACAATGCAGAGATTTTATTATAAAAAGATCATGAAAAACAAAAATATTAACTCTTATCTCAACAAGGATCACAGATCGGCTTGAGGTATTTTTATTAAAAGTTTCAGCTTAAATTTTTCTCAAAAATAAGCAAACTCAATTGTATAGCATATGATCTCTCTAGAAAAACTGAGAAGACTGTAATTTATAGTAAATACCATGGACAGTGAAGTATGTTTCCATCTGTAGTTTGTGTTGAATGAAAGTATACATGAAGCTTTCAAATAAAAAAATTCACCTGTGAGTGCTAAAACCACATGACCAAATGAGATGAAAGTTTAACTTTGGGTACATAAACGAGTTATTCAAAACCTCTCTAATAATTAAAGAATATATTTAAAAATCTCCCCCTTCTTAAAAAAAACTCACATATCATTTGAAGCTACCCATATTTACTCTGATAAATTATATCTATATTTATATTAAAATTATCACTCTACCTCAAGAAATTTGTTACTATAATTTCGTTCTTTGACCGTTGGGGTCTTCAATGAGGACTGTATAGAAATAAAAAGTGTCTTTTTTTAATATGTTCTTGGAGCTATGCTTAAAGAAAAACCATAAACTTTTTAGAGGGAAGCACTCCTAGACATACTGATGGTATTAAATTTGTTTCAAAATATCTTTTCTCCACGTATAATCATTCCTTTAGACTGCAGTCCTCCCTGCCCCATAAATTTGCTAAAGCAAATCTTTACTGAATGGTACTCCTTTGATAAGATATGCTGTAGCCTGTTCCTCATTTTTATCTTTCAGTTCACATTATGGTCATCCCCATCAACCCTATCTGGTCCTTAAATCAAACATTATACAGGATTTGTTTTGAATTTATTTGTATGCATTGTTTGTTAATCATATAATTAACAAATCTTAAAATTCTGTTCAACAAATGATTGATGGACATATAAAAATGATTAACCCCTGTAATAAGGAAAAATAAAAATAAGTTTTCTTGCTTCAGATGGAAAAAGAAAAAAATTCATAATGTTCAGTTTGATAAGAATGAAGAAAACAATTCTTAATTCTTAAGAATGAAGAAACCCTGGTGTGACTTCTGGAGGAGGTCAATTTTTGCTCAATTTTAAAATGCATATCCCAGAATTCCACCTTTAAGATTTTATCCTATAAGAAGTATGCAAGATGTATGCATGTGCATAATCACTGCAGTACTGCTTCTAACAGCAGCAGTGTATGGGCTAACAATAGGTCTGCTGAGAAATCACAGCACTTTAGAACTAGAAATGCCCTAAGTTATCATCTAATCTGATCCCATTGTTTTATGGATGAGTGAAATTATTTCCCCAAAAAAGTAAAATAATTTCCCTAAGATCATAAAGCCAGTGAGTAAAGTTTGGACTATGGTGTAAGCACTCTCTAGTATGTTTTGGTCCTTTGACAGGATGACTGCTATCACAAATACAAAATGCAAAACCAGAAAAGAATTGGATAGATAGGTCAAGGAGCAAACTCCAAATAGCTTTCTAGCTTCTTTTTTTGAAGCAGGTTTTTACAATGTTGTTCATCTATTTTGTCTTAAGAAATACAGAGTTTCCAGGACAGACTTGCTCATATTCAAATGCAAGTAATAAAAGGTTGGGAAGGAGACGCTCCCAAGTCAAATACAAATAGTTTGCAGGATTATAACCTGTTCAGTACTTATCTGTGCAAAATGTTCTTCTCAAAAGCTATATTATCAGGAGTAATGTGGCTTAATCACCTTAAAGAATAAAATGTTTGAATAATACAAAAATTTTATTTCTCTCAAATACACTATTTTACCAACTTCATTTTTTTTTTAGACATGAAAGTTAAGGTTAGAGTTAGATTACAATTGGACTGCACACATAAAATGACAAGAGTAACCGAACACCAGGCTTAGCAGTAGGAAAAGGCTAACCCAGAATTAAATGCAATCTGGATGAAGAGAGAGATTGATTTCACATGTAAGAGTTAGATATACTTTCATTTCTACAAATTTAAAAGTTAAACAACTTTCTATAAAGAAATTTAATGTATATTACCTATCTGTTAAAAAGGCACATATGAGATTCTTCGCATGTTTAGAAATTTCTGCATCTTCAGGGAAACATAGTGAGTTTTTGTGATCCATAATTTTGCTGTATGTTCCTACAAGTGAATCTGCATAAAATGGAGTATCCCCTAAAATTCCAAGAAAGAAGACACCAAGTGTAATAGAGAATGCAAATTAAACATTTTTAATCTAGTATTTAATGTTAGTTCAAATTTGCTACATGTATGAAAGAACAGTCAGTCAGTCTATCTACTAAGAAACTCAGTCAAAACAAACAGGCACACACCAGAATACATTTAAAAGTTTAACCAATGAACCATCAACTCTTAAGAGCAATATAAAATCAATGTTAACTCTAGAATTTGTTGGCTTTTTTTTTTATAATGGGAAAGGAAGCAATTTACTAGATAATTAAAGAAAAACATTACTAAATGGGGCCAGCTCAGTCAGAGTCCTCTAATGCTTAAGCTGACTGACTTTGGAAATTAGTCTCTAGAGCTGTGTTACAGAATATAGTAGCCACTAGCCATATGAGGCAATTTAAAAGTTAAATAAATTAAAATTAAATAAAATGAAAAATTCAGTTCCCTAACACCCTAGCCACATTCTAAGTGCTTGATAAGGCCAATGCCTACTAGCATACTGGACAGTGCAGACAGAAGCCATTTTCATCATGACAGACTGGACAGTGCAGCTCTAGGAGTTAGAGCAGCCCTATTATTTTACATGTGAGGAAGTGAAGCCCAGATAAATGACATGTGACTTGCCTAAGAGGACATAGTTAAGAGTTGAAAATGGCAGAAATGGTCTCCAAAGCAGTGTTCCTGCTGAATAATGACTATGATACAGAGGCACTGAAGCAAGTGTAAACACAGAAAAGGCTGAAGACATAATTCTAGTCCATTCTCACCTAAAGCCACAAGGGTTGAAGGCCCTGCCAGTATGCCTCAACTACTTGTCACCTTAGTACAAACCAGACTTTACCAAATCAGCCAATCCAAATCTTCAAAAGAGGTTTTGGGTATCCAGGTTGTTTTTGTTTGTTTTCAAAGAGGGGCAAAGGAGAGCTTTTAATTCAAGATTTTTCCAGTGCCATTTTTAACTGCAGTACATAGAGTCCTGTATGAAGTTCAGTGCCAACCAACCACAGCAAGCACTGGAACAAGGCTCAGAATACTGCAAATCAGTGCCATCCGAACTCATTAAATTCAGCTCTCAGAATTGGAAACAGTAACAGGAATTTAAATGATCTCTTCTGATTAGCCATGTGACTTCCTCCAAGTATTTTATTTTCAAAATCTCTACAAGAGTCTAGGCAAATGATAGACTATATCCCACTTTCAAAAGATTGCAAGACACACTTAAGGCATTACCAGATGGGCCAGAGGTAGCAAGAATGGACAGCTACCTGGGGATATATTGTCTGTGCAGAGACCTACTAAAAAGACCAAGTCGCCAAAGTAGGTCATAATACTATGACATGTGACTGAGCATAGCAAGATCAATACTACTTACACAGGATGGTCATCAAGAGAAGGCAATTTATGCCACAAAAAAAAACCCATGACTAATATCACTTACATTTGGGAATTACCAAAATATTCTGATTTTTTTAAAAAACCAATAACCATAACTCAATTATCATATAGATTTTACAGGTTTTCCACTACCAATTTCTTTTTTTTTCTATTAAGGTATTATTTATATACACTCTTTTAAAGGTTTCACATAAAAAACAATGTGGTTACTACATTCACGAATATTATCGAGTCCCCCCCCATACCCCACTGCAGTTACTGTCCATCAGTGTTCCACTACCAATTTCTTCTAGGGTCATCTTCTAGAAAATAAATTCTCCAATTTCTAAAACTATTATTTTCAACTCTAAAGTTGTTTCTTATGTTATTAGCCTTATTATCACACTTGCCTCACAAAGCAGATTAAACTACATCTCCCCTCATCCCCAAGCCAGGTGATTTAGTCATTGGCTTCCTTAACTGTAAGATATTTTTGTGACCCTAGTACTTAGGAATGAGAAATCTTAAGGATGAAATCTATGATGGAAAGAAAAGTTTTGAAATACTTGAGACTTTCACATTGTAATTTGGTCAAAGTAAAACAAATTATTAAATTTGCCGCTGAGTTTTCTGAGACTGAAATATTATTATAAAATACATTTACCTTGATAGTCAAGTGGTTGATAACTGTATCATTTGTTTTACTGGAATTACAAACCAAATATATATACAAGTAATAAACAGATGAAATACACAAACCAAATGTATATATAAGTAATAAATAGATGAAATACAGTTCATAAAAATCAATTACATTCACATAATTACATAAACAAAATAAAGAGTACTTTCAGTTCTCTATATTATTGGAACAAATATTAATAGCCTTATATTTAAAATATTTACAACAAATACTATTGATCAAGAAAATCTTAGAATGGAGGAATATTGCAGCTATAAACTTGCTTCTTGTTCTAATATTTACTTAATACAAAAAGGTCTACTGTCCATCAGTGTTCCACTACCAATTTCTTCTAGGGTCATCTTCTAGAAAATAAATTCTCCAATCTCTAAAACTGTATTTTCAACTCTAAAGTTGTTTCTTATGTTCAATTCCTTTCATATTCCACTTAATTACTGTGCCAGTATGATGCTTGGCTGCCTCTGTTCAGTTAACAATGTTATATCAGATACTATTAATTCAGTTTTCAGATATTTCACTTCTTCCCTAGGACACAGGCAATTAATTTCCTTTTATTCTCAAATTCCTGACTTAAAACTAAAGTGTTATGAGATGGGTCTTGAAAAAAGAACAAATTAAAATATTTACTTACCTACTAGCATCTCAAAAAGGAAAACACCCACAGACCACCAATCACATTCTCGCCCATAGTAACCATCACCCCCTTGTGATTTCAGAACCTCAGGTGATATATAATCAGGTGTTCCAACTGCTGTATCACAATGTACCATGCCTGTCTGGATAAATAGGAGAGATAAGAAAACCAGATGTGCATAAAATGTGTGTAAACATACATAAATACACATAATTCATTTATTATTACAGATGCAGTGGCTATAAACTGCTCCCAACTGAAGTTCATTACTGCCATGGCTTTGGGGAAAAATGCATTATGAAATACATAAAAATGTCTCAATTATGGTATATGAGAGATCAGGTATAATTTTCCAACTCTAAAATACAGACGCCTTTATTACTGAAAAAAGAAAAAGGTAGTAAACTCCATGGGAATTGTATGCAAATCAACATTTTTGTTTCTTCTTATGCTACAAAGTAGTTAGAAGAGAAGTAATAAAATGTGATCTTAAGGTACCTGACCTGGGGAAACAAAAGTTTTGTTAGAGAAAGGAAGCTTTGATATTTCTAAAAGAAATGGCAGTGATTAAGATTACAAAGGGCCCAGCTTAGAGGATGAATAAAAAAATGGTTCTTATTATATTAAGAAAAAAATGGGGCAAATAGGTCAATGTTAAAATTAAAAGACCTTAATAGTTTGAAAGTTACACCTCCAAGTTGCATATTTAAAATATGGAATGTGGCAGTAAGACATATAGCAAAATGATAAACACACCCTTATCTGTGTTTAGTTTCAGTGAGTAATAAGAAATCTGATATCCCTATCTGATGTCTTTTTGATAAGGACAAGAGAATCATTGTAGATATATGCACGGGTGTGTACATTTTGTGGCATGTATGTGTGTATGTATGCTTGTATATGCGTGTATGTTATGAAATTAAATCATTATAATAATAGTGGTAAATAATACTCATTCACCTCTAGCTCTGTCCAAACTTGCAAAGATTTTATAAGTGAATTTAAATGCCCTTCATTTCCTTTACCTACCCATCAAAGGGTGCATCACCCACATTCTTCATAAGGAAGCTACACAAACTACCAAAATACAAAGTATCTGACCACCTTGGGAAAAGGAAGTTCAATGTAGTTTGTAAATATGATTTACGTAAATGTTTTCATTTAAGTGCAATAATATATATGTTAAACATGGGAAATTAATTTCAAAAGCAATTTTTTCATTCCTCAAATTAGCAACAATACTCAATGTTTTCATTTTCCTAAGTATATAGCGAATAGAGAATACAAGTCATTTTAGCTTGAATATAAATTAATAAAATAAAACTTTTCAAAATAATTGAATAAATTATGAGGGTAACACTTTGTATGGATTACTACTTAGGATTAAAAATGAAGAAGACAGTGCCTGACTTCAAAAGGCAGGGTATATAATTAATTTTTATCACGGACTATCTTACACTTTAAGACTTTTGTTAGAGAAAAAATTAATAGAGACTCATTAGGATAAACAAAATCTCTTCATTTCACACATACCCATAGAAATCAAACTTTAAAAAACATGAAATCTTGTGAGACATAGGAGCTAAAACCTGACTGGACACACACAAACAAATGCCATTAAAAGGAAAATTATTTAGCATTCAATGGTCCAGAGGAAGGAGAGGAAAGGGTAAGACACTAAAAAGAACTGGCATAAAGTTAGGCTATAAGGGATGGACAAGCTAGGCTTTAAAGGAGTGAGGGTGGTATGGTAGCTTAGACAGAAAAAAGAGCAATAAAAAAAGGATTAAGAATGACTTCATATAAACCATGTTCAAGAAATGCAGTTGAGTCCAAATCAGTTAAATGTGAGGTTTTACATGATGAGGACGGAAAAGGCAAGTTGGAGTTCAGTTTGAATAACCATTTGCAGAATAAATACTTCGGTAGGACTAAAGAATTTCTAGTAGGTAATCTACATGAATAGCACTCTGCTTTTGGAAAATTTAATATTCCAACCACATTTTTTGGCCAATATATTGGTGGTTAAATTTAAAAAAAAGCTTTTGAAGATACTTTAAAATTGTCTCACAGGTAGATTCTCAAACTATTTGAATACAGAATCTACATTTATGACAAGTCTGATCCTATTCTAAAGAACTACAGAAAGGATGAACAAACCAAAGAGACGAGTTTACCTACAAGGGGTGTATGGGAAAAAGGTGGCAAGAAAGAAGCATGGGATTGGGGTGGTAGGGATAAGGAGGAAGGGATCCCCTTCACTGAGCAAACAATTTGCACAATTATGACTCTTAAAATCAGAGGAATGTTCCACAATCCAAAAAATAAACAATTAAAATCACAGTGGATGTGGGGGAAACTGAACAGAATACAAACAGTAAAAAATGAACCTGTTTTATAAATTAATAACATAACTATGCCAATAGGGATAGGGAAGAACTGACCTAAGTAACTTTGGAAAACACTATCTTAAATGGATACTATAAGGCTAAACACACAAAGAAAAGCTGCACAAAATAATACATTCCAGTTAGTAGATCTGTTTGTCATAGGGGAAGGCACTGGCAATTCTGAAGTAATTTTTTTGTGTATACTAGGGTTGAACAAGTAAGTAAAAAAACTTAGATATTGAGAGTCAGGTTTCTCACTGTCCAAAAGAAATTACCAAAAAAAAGAAGTAGAATGAATCCTGTAGTATCTGACTAGAATCAGAAGTACTGGTGTGAACTCATGACTTTTGATATATTATATATAAAGGCAGGTAAGTATAGGACTAAATATGAACACATGTGCATGATAATTAGTACATACAGTATGTACAATACACATGTGTCTGCTGATGGGGACTAGAAATACTGACACTCTAGGAGCAGGAGAGTAAAACTTGTGTCCAAATAGTTATGTCTAAATACCATTCTTGAATAAAAGAAATCAGAGGTCCTTGGAGAAGTGGCTGATTCCATGGCTGGGGAAGAGAAAATACAAATCTTCAACAACTTTTAATGCCAAAGGAAAATGATCCAAAAAGGGGGCATATCAAAAGGACATAGGAGCCACACTAAGGAGCTTACACAAGATAAGCAAAGTTTGGACTGAGTTTCAAAGTACAAGAAGCAATTTGCCAAGTATACTGGATTAATAGCATATACAAAGGCCAGAAATCCTAAAATGGCATGGTACAAAAAGAGCTACATGTAATTTAAGACCTCTGAACCATAAGGTAAAAAAGGTCGAATGATAGAGAATGACGGTGGAAAAACAGGCACGGATCACATCATCTTAAGAGGCTTCATATGACAAGCTAAGTTGTTTGAACTTTATTCAGTAGGTGACAGCAATCTACAGAAGGGTTTTAAGGTAGAGAGCAACATAAACAGGTATGTATTTTCAAAAGCTTTTGCAAACATTCTATATCTGGTGTTTTATAATTGCCAAAATATCATAAATTGAAAAGATTTACTGAAAACATAAAATAGGTCAATCACAAATCTTGAGTTGGCCCACGAAACTATTCAAAATGCTTCCTGTAAAGGTGGAAAAGAAAAACTATAAATGGAATTCTTTATCATCAGAAGCATTAAAAGCCTCAGCTTGACTGCTACATAGGGAGGAGACTATTCAGTCCATTTTAGTAATTAAAAATGAACACTAGCACCAGGGGCCCCCTTCCTCAGAGAGGAATATTCCTTGCCTTGTAATATTTTTGGATAGTAGAAAATTCGTTCTATCTAAAAAACAGCCGAACTGATTAAGTTTTATTTCCATTCGCATTGTGCAGTGCCCACAGGCACACAAAGTGTCTATTATTCTGGTTATCCCCCCGTGGTACTAATTATCATTTTCATTAGGGCTTTGGCTACAAATCTGCAGAACTTTTGAATGGTCTGTCCCTATTGTTTCCATAAACCTGTCCTTTTAAATGTGTAATTTTTCAGAAAATTGGGTTTTCCAGAAACATTAGTAACACCTTCATTTTAAAAATTGGTATCACTTGCAGAAGGGTTAAAGACATTAATGACTTAACAACCAGCTTTTTGAAAAGTTATAGTCTCTATTTGATATACACTAGAATATTAAGGGATAAAATATTATATTATTTTCAGGTACGAAGGTAAATTGTGCCTTAAAGGGTGGTGAACATTGCTATGAAATTCATAGATAGGCAAAGAGGGAACTCAACTTGTCTATCAGTGCAAGTAATTTTAAATAGCAGTACTTCTGTCACTGAGACACATCTACATGTAAATATACCATACTGTCACTGTCACTCACATTGATATTTTTTTCAGAGAAAAAGAGTAATAGCATCCAAAAAATTGTGTAATACACAGTCCATCAATGGCAAAATTTAATGAGACACCATTATTCTTTATCATGATTTTAAACAAACCATTTTAGTCCTGTGAGCTATAATTTTATGGTTGTATTTTATTTTTGCTTTTATCTATGGCATAATGTTTTATATGAAGCCAGAGGAACTCAAAAATAATTCAAGCATTTGTCTATAGGCAAACTTTTCTTGTAAAGGGCCAAATAGTAAATATCTAAGGCTTTGTAGGCTACTAGGATCTCTACTGCATATCTTCTTTTTATAAACAATCTTTTAAAAATGAAAAAAACATGTTTAGCACAAGAGCTGTACAAAACCAAGTCACAGCCAGATTTGGCCCTGTGCTCTAGTTTGCTGATACCTTCTATAGATGTGTAGATGAATGAAAATGAAAACATGAAGGCTTCTTAGGGTTCTGAGACCATAACAATAATCAAACAGAGACAAGAAAGTGAGGAAACTATAACCTGGAATAACACTATTCACATTAACAACTGAACAAAATTATAAATTCTATGTACAATTTTTAATTAAGAACACATTTATTCTTCAATATTATATAACTTCTCATTATTAATATTACTTGAGGAATGGAGATTTGGTATAAAGCAAGCAACATTTTTAAAGCTCAGTACTTAAAAAAAAATATTTGACTACATCAAAATTTTCAGATTTTTGTTCAAAAACACAGATGGGTAACAGACTAGAAAATGGTATCAGCAATATCTGTGGTTTATAGATTATATAAGGAATCTCTGAACTTTAACAAGAAGCCATTTAAAAAGGCCAAAAGATACAACACAGATAATTCACAAGAAACAACTACAAATGCATGAAGAAAGGTTTGACATCATTATATATAAGTTAAGTGCCATTTTTAAAAAACACTACTTTCTATCAATGAAATTGGTAAGATTTAGAGAGTGAATAATAGGAAGGGTGCATGAAGATAGATGGAGAAAGGATCTCTAATGCACTACTAGCAAGAGGTTTTAACATTTGCAGCCCTTCTGGAGATCAGATGATACTTTATTTATGTAGCCTCTGACACAGCAGTCTTACTTCTAAGTTTAGATTTACAGGAAACCCTTGTCAGAATATACATGGGACACATATGCAGATGTTCAACATAGTACTTTGGCAGCAGGGAGCTGGATGTGACCCAATCCAACACAAGGGAAAATGGTAAGTAAAATGTACAGATAGATACTATGGAATACTAAGAAACAATGCGCTAATTTACATATATCAGGAATATGTATAAAACCATTTTGAGTGAAAAAAAAGTAAACAAAATGATATCCATACCATTATACTATTTATATATACAGATGCTATACTAGTAGTCTGCAAGAGTTTATGGTAAACACATTACAGTGGCTATGTATTAGGGAAAGACAATCAGACTGACACTAAAAGATGGAAAACATAATAAAATAAAAATAATATGGGGCCTTTGTGTAGAATAGTAATGACAATAAGCTGTGAACCAAGGAGTATAATTAACTCAACTACACATACCTGAATTGAAAAATGAACAAAAATTATATAAGTCTTATTTTATTTTGCCCTGTAGAGATAATTTAAGATATTTAAATAGTTGAATTAAGTATATACTCACATGCCTGCAAAATCATTTTATAAATATATATATATAATATATATACTATCTTATGTGTATATATGTAAAAGTATATATTATGTATAAACGTACTTACTATATTATGCCTTGTTCCTCACGTTCTCACACTCTACAAGTTACTTTCCTTAACTACTTTTACCCACCCTAAATATATGTGGTGTGATATTTCTCTGCATGCTTCCAAAGGTTTCTAGCTTAATTAAAATCAAAATACACTTAAAAAAGTACAGTATATAGATATAATTCATTATATACAACAGACATTAAATAAAAAGTTCAACATTCTATTAGAAAATTCATACTTAATTCTCATTAATGACAATTTTCACTGTTAACCATTTCATACTAGATTATGACAAACACCACAAGAGGGAGCTTTAGGTACAAACTCTTACTAAGCATTGATTAATGTATGCAGAACACAGAGTAACAGACTATGATAAAGACCATGAAAGATGGGGATGTTGAGTTTTAACTGGATAGGCAGGACATACAAACCTAAACCAACAAAAATGGCCAATTAAGTATAGCATAAATTCTATTTGACATAAAAAGAGTGATTAGTCAGATTAGGATTATCAGGAAGAACTTTCTAGCTGAGGTAAAATCTAAGCTGAGCACACCTATATTTATTGCAGCACCATTTACAACAGCCAAGAAATGAAAGCAACCTAAGTGTCCATCAGCAGATGAATGGATAAAGATGTGGTACATATACACAATGGAATATTATTCAGCCATAAGAAGAAAACAAATCCTACCATTTGCAACAACATGGATGGAGCTAGAGGGTATTATGCTCAGTGAAATAAGCCAGGTGGAGAAAGACAAATACCAAATGATTTCACTCATCTGTGGAGTATGAGAACAAAGGAAAAACTGAAGGAACAAAACAGCAGCAGACTCACAGAACCCAAGAATGGACTAACAGTTACCAAAGGGAAAGGGACCGGGGCAGGGGAAGGGAGGGAGAAGGGGAATAAGGGGCATTACGATTAGCACACATAATGAAGCAGGGAGGTATGGGGAAGGCAGTATAGCACAGAGAAGACAAGTAGTGATTCAATAGCATCTTATTATGCTGATGGACAGTGACTGTAATGGGGTATGTGGGGACTTGATAATGGGGGAAATCTAGTAAGCATAATGTTGCTCATTAACTGTATATTAATGATACCAAACTTTAAAAAAATCTAAGCTGAGCTTGGAAGAATTGAATCACTGATGAAGGCAGAACCATTAATAAAAGTGAATGTCACACAGATGGCATGAGTAAGTTAAGAGGTAAAGAGAAGAGAAAATCTGCTTAATTCAAACTAAACATCAATGACAAGATAATAAGAAATAAGATTAGCTATATAAGCATACTGGGAAGTTATAAAAACCATAAAAAAGATGATATCCAGTTTGTGTCAATATACATTAACATTTAGAAAGTCTGATACATGCAAGTCACCCTTAGATCCAACAAGGGACTAGAATGGAAGTAAAACATGATCCCTCCCCATCAGGAATTACAGTATAAAGAGAAAAAGATGAGATACAATTTTTGCAACAAAAATAAATCAACATAATTAGCTATGAAGTTAATGCTATTAAATGTATTAATCATAATACAAATTGTTCAACAGTTAAAGCACCACAATAGATCATGTTCCCATATTTAGTCTATGTGGTTGATGCAGATGAGGTCATAAATTTCTGACCTTATCTCTTTTTTAAAGGAAAAATAGAGATAATAGGGTGAGGGGAAATATCCATGTACCTTAATTTATATTTGTGTCCTACTTCTTCACCTACATCATCATTCACATGAGTTAGTTTTGATTGGTAGCAAATGTTTGTCAATATTCTACAAGGAAGATAATTTTTTAAGTTATCTGAGTTATTTCTCTTGGATTCACAAAATCTAGTACTAATGAAGTGTTCTATAGTAAACAAATGATTAGTAAAGGAAATGTTTTGACTTGGCTATTTTATTACCTTGTTTTAGTCATTATACAGTTAGCAAAACTAAGTTTATCTCTGCTTAAAACTCTGAGGCCAGATTTCAAATGTTTTTTGTTTCTTAAAATCTAGCAATTTTTTTTTTACTTGCTTGTTACTTACTTCATCCATCTTCATACATGTGCCAAAATCTGCTAATTTCAGATGTCCATGCTTATCCAAGAGCATGTTGTCAGGCTTCACATCTCTGTGAATTAAACCCATGGAGTGTATGGCATCCAGAGCAAGAACAACTTCAGCAGTATAAAATTTGGCCCATTTTTCAGGTACATCATAGTTACTCATAAGGTTTACAAGGTCTCCACCAGGCATATACTCCATTACCATGTACAGATACTTATCATCTTGAAAGGCACAAAATAGCTGGAAAACAAAATGGGAAGGAAAAATTTTTTTAAAAAAAGGAAAAAGGAAAGGAAAGGAAAGAAAACGAAAGGAAAGGAAGGTACGGAGAAAGCCAAAACCATAAATAGAACAAAACCCAAAAACGGTTATATTACTGAAAAAAACAAATTATTTTATAACCAAAACAGAGTTGACACTATGAAATCTTAGATTTGGACATCTTTGATGGAAAAACAGTTATCAGCCAAAACTTTTATATGGGTGTTTTCTTCAGGCTTACTAACAAAATATGCATGAATGAATCACTTTCCCTCTTGGAAATTACAGGAATCTATTTAAATAGACATATTTTAAGAGAGAAAAGAATAAGAACGAGGAACATAAAAAGATGAAAGAATGACTGAACTCATAACTTTAATAAAAAACCAGATTTCTGAAAATGAAACAAATTATTGCATATAACTCATAAAAAAGAGTGTTGAGGAGGTAGAAGCAATTTAGCAAACCCTAAAAGACACCAGATTCAGTGGAAGAGGGAATAAGAGGGAATAAGCCCCATACCAATGCAAAGAGTAACCAGTAACATATTTGAACAGGGCCTCTGCTCTCTCCCCTTCCCCAGCATCTTGCTCAAAATAAGAGCAAATGGCAATGTTACCTGCACGTAAACTAAAGCAGCAGCACTGGGAGTAGAGAAATTTGTTAGTGATCCCCACAAGACACAGAGACACCACAAATTCAGAAGAAAAGGTATTTACATACCACCCAACAACACGTCCCACCTCACCCAGAAGCAAGCAATGCAAACAGGAAAAGTTTCCACAAACAAATTGGGAAAAGATAGAACAAAACCAAGAACTAACATTTGAGAAAAACCAACACCATGAAAAAGAGGCAAAGCAATTCAAGAAACATAAAATTAGTACTCAAGGAAATGTCTAATAGGACAAAGAACAGCTTTAAACATGTAAAAATCAATAGTCTCAAAATAGTTAACATGTCACATCAATTAAACAATATAGGCTAATATGAAAAAAAATCTTAAGTGTTACAATTAAATATATAACTGATGATAAGAGAAGAACAAATTATAGAGCTAAAAAATTGAGCAAAGGAACCTTCTCTGATTACACTGAAAAATTCAGAAATGAAAAATAGAGCACAGTTACCAGAGCTCCAACATGTATCTAAAAGCAGTCTGGAAGAGAGAACACAAACCAGATGAAAAGGAAGAAAAGGAAATAGTAAATAAAAATTTCTAGGAGTGAATAAAATTAAAAATAAAGTTAAAGAAAGATTGATAGCACTTCCAACTGCCTAGAGAGAAACTAAGACAGCCAGTGCTAAACTTTCAGAAATACAAGAGAGAAATCCTACAAGTTTCCAGAGAGAAAAGATATCTTATGCACAAAACCAGAAATCATACTGGCAACAAACTTCTCAGCCAACATACTGGATACAAGAAAACAAAGCTGTATCATCAGTTTTGAAGGAAAATGGTTTTGATCCTAGAACATGGCAGAGTAGTAAACAAATGAGATGGAAAAATATACCTATTATGCAAATCCTTAGAAATTTTATAATTAACAAACCATTTCTGAAAGAACTGCTCAAGGATATAATTTGACAAAATGAAGAATAAATCCAAGTAAGAGGATTGTGAGACATAAGAAAGAGAGGCGAACAAGTAATACAGAAAAGCTTATTAAATACAATTACTGACAGAAAATTAAATACACACTTGAGAATCACACCAAAATCAGCATATTTTTTAAATGGAAGATGGTGGGATGTAGGGAGGGAAGGGATGGAAAAGCTTTGTAAGGCTGGTTACCAAATTAGGAAAAATGTTTGTGTGTTTTTGTGTGTAGTGCTGTTTAACCCTAAATGATAAAAGATGTAAATAAATGCAAAGACACTGTATGTTCTTAGATTGAAAGACTTAATATTATAAAGATGGCAATTCTCATCAAACTGATCAACAGATTTAAAGCAAAATCTATCTAAATCCCAGCAGGTTTTTTCCAGAAACCAACAAATTAATCCTAAAATTTATATGGAATACAAAAGGACACAGAAGAGTCAAAACAATCTTGAAATGGAACAAGGTAGGGAGCCTTGTATTTCCCAATTTCAAAATTCACTATGAAACTACTATTATCAAGACACTACTTATAGCATAGGCCAGACATGTAGATCAATGGAACAGAACTGACAGTCCTGAAATAACCCTTATATGTTTATAGGTCAATAGATTATTTTTGTCCTACAAAGATGTCAGGGCAATTTAGTGGGTAAAGAATAGTCAACAAATGGTGCTTGAACAACTGGATATTCACAGGCAAAAAGATGAACATTTTCAGACCCTTACTTTACATCACACTAAAAAATTACTTGAAATAGCTCAAAGGGCTAAATTTAAGAGTTGAAACTATAAAAATTTAGGAAAAAACAAAGGAGAAAAGCCTTCACGACCTTGAATTAGACAAAGGTTTCTTATAACACCAAAAACACAATTGACAAAATAAAAAACTGACATATAAGGTTCCATTAAAAGAAAAATTTGCTGGCATTAGAAGACAACATTAATAAAATGAAAAGATAAACTGCAGTTTGGGAAGAAATACAAATGACATATATGATAAAGGGCTTATCTATAGACTATACAGAGAACTGCTACAACTCAATAATAAGGCAAATAACAAATTTTAAATGGCAAAAATTTTGAATGGACATTTCACCAAAGGAGATACATGAGCTGTCAGTAAGCACATGAAAAGATGCTCAATATTGTTAGTCATTAGGGAAATGCACTTAAAACCACAATGAAATACCACTTTACACCAACCAGAACGGCTATAATAAATAAAGACAAAATATCAAAGGTTGGGAAAAACGTGGAGAACTGGAACCTCGTATGTGTTGGTTGAGAATGTAAAATGGCACAACCACTTGGAGAAAGAGCTTGACAATTTCTTAAAAAGTTAAACAGGTTTACCTACCACACAACCAGGGATTCCACTCCCAGGTATCTACCCAAGAGAAATCAAGTATGTTCACAAAAGATGTGTATGCAAATGTTCACAGCACCATTATTGACTATTTGCAACAGCCCTGAAGTAGAAACACTATTTGTAAAAATCCCAACTGATAAATGGACAAACAAAATGAGTATATCCATACACTCTATGTCTAGTCCAACTGGGTGCAGTACAATACAATTCTGATGTTAAACACTTGGCTCCCAGAAGTTAAAAGCCCAGTCTTCCACAAGGTGGCCCTCATTTGTTAGACTTCATTCATTCTTTGGGAGTCCCCAGGCCATTTGCATTTCTGTCTGACCAAGCACAAATTAAGGAGTTCCTATGACTCCCTGAGGTTTAGATAATCCACTAGGATGACTCCTAGAACTCATAGAGTCACTATATTTATGATCACCATTTTATTATAAAGGACACACTTAAGGCGAGACCTCGGAGGAAAAAGAATTTTTCTGCCTCCTCCTGTGGAATCAGGTGCATCACCCTCCCATCACATCAATTTACTAGCCAGGAAGTAGGGTCTGACAGGCATTATGAATTAAATTGTTGGCCATGTGATTAAACTTAATCTCCAGTCCCTTTCCCTTCCCAGGAGGTCAAGCAACTCAAAGTCCCAATTTTCTGTTCATGTGCTTGTTCTCTCTGGACAATCACCCTCATTCCAAAGCTATCAAAAGAACCCCCTGGATTTGCCTCATTAACATAACAAAGATATTCGTATCACTCAGGAAATCCAAGAGCTTTTGAAACTGTGCTAGGAACTGGGGACAAAGACCAAAAATATTTTTTATTATACCACACCAAACAATGGAACACTATTCAGCATTAAAAAGAAATGAATAAGCTACAATGTTCATGAACTTCAAAAACAGAATGTTAAGGGAAGAAAATCTAAAAGACAACATACTGTATAATTCCATTTATCTAAAATGCCCAAAAAAGGTGAATGTATAGAGACAGAAAGCACATTAATAGTTGCCCAGGGCTGGGAGAGAAATGGGAAATAACTGTAAATAGGTGAAAGGAAAGGAGCGACACATAGCAGCAATTCACCGGAGAATTCCGCTTTATTAGGGAAAGGTGCTGGGTTATATAGGAAGGGGCATGAATTGATTGAGGTGTCACTTCTACAGGGCTGGTGGCTGTTGGCTAGGTGCTGGGATTGGGAGGGGAGCGAGAGGTGATTGGGCTTCAGGTGGCACCGGCGGGAACCGAGGACCCTGAAGAGAAGCCGGAAGTTTGCCATCTTACTGGTGGGGGCCCTTCAATAGGTACAAGTGATCATTTGAGGATAGTGGAAATGTTTAAAATCTGATTGTAGTGATGGGTGCACAACTCTGTACATTTCCTAAAAATCACTTAATTGGACAAACTGATCTGCAAATAACTTAATAAAGTAATTTCATTTATAAGAGACAAAAATTAGAAATAAGTAAATAGTCATACATCTATACATACTGTGGGTATGATGGAGAATGCTTGCAGTAGGTACATACTTAATACTGGAAGGGCAATGGGGCATCAGGTCAACAACTTACTTGAAAATAGTTCAGAAAGATTTTCCTGTGCATGTTACCCCCAACTTTCCTGTAAGTTTGTGATTGTTCCAAATGCAAAAATTAGAAAGGGAAAAGTGACAGTTTGGGAAGATACTTGTAACACATATAGCCAGTAAAGAGCTCATATCCAAAATAAGTAAAAAGAACTCCTACCAGTTTCTTTAAGTTGACAGACAACCTAATGGGAAAATGGGCAAGAGATTTAAACAGGCATTACACAAAAAAGGATATTCAAATATGAAAAGGTATTAAATTTTGAGAAAAGTAAATTTAAACCACTTAAGATATCACTTTGCATGCACAAAACAACCAAAAATTTTAAAACTGACAAGACCGTTAGCAAGGATGTGAGACAAAGGAACTTCGAACTGAACTCTGATAACCCATTGGAAAACAGGCTGTCACCACCTACTAAGAT